TATTTAAATCACTTCACAATAAACCACTTTCAAATTCAAAAGGTTGAACCGTTGAGCCATTCGAACCGATCCTGGTTCACCGGTTTTGGGCCAGTTCAAACAGTTTTTGATCGGTTCTCATATTGGGAGGTTTGATGCAGCAAACTAGACCGGAATGAAGGCCGGTTCTTGGTCCAACCGATTGAACCGGCCGGTCCGGTCCGGTTCTTAGAACCGTGATTAAAATCCATGTTTGAAGCCTTGTTGTGATTGAAACCTTAGCCTTTTCATGCCTTAAGATTCATGAGAAGAGATCGAGTATCTTTCTGTTGCAAGTTTCAATTTTCCCTGCATTTTGTATGTTGTTTTCTCGTTGTTTTTTACCCCTGAAATGCAGTCGCATATTTTGGAACTCTTCATATGATTTGATTTTCAGTCCCTTATGGTTCTTAGAGAAAAAGAATCAAGTGATTATCATCTTTATACTAAAAGTTATGAATAAAGTTTGATCATTGCGCAGTCAGTCTTCTTTGATAATCGTGGTCGTACAAGTCTATACATTCCTTGTTGTTTTTGTTAGAGTAGGGTACCCGGCGTTCCAATCTAATTGGACGTATTCTACTTGTAAATACAGTCTATTGGAATTATATTATGAATAAGGCATTTCTTTATCTTAAGAGAAAGCATTTATCTTATAATTGCACTTAAGATAAAATCCCTAGATCACTTATGGTTATAAGGTATGGTTGCGCATAGAGATGGTGATCATGGAACATACCTTGAAAGCCGTGATCTTAAATACAGTTCCAAGTCGATGGATGTTTCGAGATGGGATATCGAATAATCCATAAAAGACTTGCACATAGTTTGTATGCTTGTTGGACAAGAATGTTGCATTCCATCAACATTAGCGTAAGACGTAAGTACATTTATGTGGGTGCTTGTTAGAGAACAAGTTCACTGAACATGACCGTATGAAAATTCTTAATGAAGAATTTATTCAGTCGAATAAGAATTTTCATGTTACAATAGTACATGACTAATCCTAAGACTTGAGGCACAATGGTAACTTTGTGCATATTACATTCTACTTTGATTTATCCTTTTGGTAGCTAGCACTATCGTTTAAAGGGATAAGTTGGGTATTATGTTAATATGTATGGAAGTTTGTTAGTGGCCAATAAAGGATTCGACACTTATGAAGATAAGTGAATTTCCTATGTGTTTCATAGTTATTAATCCAAAGTCCTTGGCCAAGGCAGAGATGAATAGTGATTCATAACCGGGTTAATAAACATGAAATAGAATCATAGTTATTAAGTCAATTTGGGTTTCGACAAAATCATACCCAAGACTTAATCGGGAAATTAGATGTCGAAAGGATTTTACATGTATGGAGTTGTAATCGGAATAGGTTTACTCGCTATTCACTTAATACTAGATTCATGATACTTGCTAGGTGTTACCATGATATGTGGGTTCATGAATTAAGGGGTTAATTCTTGAATAAGAGTTAATAAGATTTAACTCAAATTACAAAGTGTTGTAAACCCACTACTAGTATTAATAGTGAACCTAAAAGGTCACACTAATTATGAACAAAGGTAAAGATTGTATTTCTAATGGTTAGAATTAATTGATAAATATCTAATTTGATTAGATGTCAATTAAAGGAATATATTAATCAATAAGATTGATTAATTACATTTTGGATATTACTTTAGTAATTAAAGTAATTACTAAATTAATAAAGTTGAATTTTAAAATAGGATTTTAAATTTCAAATCCAAAATAATAATAATATGATTATTATAATATGGATGAAAATTGGGAAATGAATATAATAATAAAGTCTTGGAATAGATTCTCAAGATTTATTATTATATTATTATTTTTATCTTTAAATATGATTTAAGGATTAAAATAATAAAATGAATATAATAAATGGTGGTTAGATGGTTGTTTGAACTACTTAACATTGTTTATTATATATAAAGTCAATAGTTAGTAATATGATTTTTAAATAAAATCAGATTTTATTTAATATTACTAAATATTGATTATTTTATGCTAAAATGTTTAGTATAAATAGATGCAAAATGTTTGCAAATTATGCTAAGTGATTTTGTGAGAAATTCAAAGAGAGAAGAAAGTGTTCTTCATATATTTCAAGAAAGTGTTCTTGGAAATTCCCAATTTATATATATATATATATATATTCCTATACGAGAAAACCGAGACATTCCTACTAGCGAAGGAAGGTAGTCGGAACCGGGCTTCATAGGGTGGATACGATTAGAGGGAAGACACTTGGATTCCTCAAGCGAGTAACCTCAATCCGTTGACGTTACAAACCGGGAACCGATTCCCACAATCCACTTCGGTTAAATTGAAGGAGTTCAAGAACTACTCGGTAAATACTATTTATTTGTATTTGTATTTACTTTATTATAACAAATCAAAATTTGTATGTGATGCATGTTTTAAAGATGACGATCAGTTAATTCGCAATTAGTATGTACGGGTGTTGTATTTATTCGATAAATACTTACTTTGAAAAATTTTAAATTCCGCTGCTTAAAGCTCGTACGGTACTATCGAACCCAACAGTTTTAGCCAACTTCTTTTAGTCGAACATTTTTTATGTCTGAACATAAATTGTATATGTGTGTCTTATGTTGAAATAAGCGCAAGAATCGCAATGTTATATCTTTTACACAAAAAGTTATGTCCAACGTATGATTATTGCGCGGTATGTTTTCTTGTCAAACGTGGTTGCACTACAGTCTGTCTTACTTTGTTTTTTTGAATCTTTTCTCGTGACCTGATACTTTTGATGTCTTCAATTTGTTTATAGATTTGTCTCTTATATTTCAAATATCATAAAAATCATTCAATTATCATTTTTATACAAAACATTATGTTTAAAATAGACGGATTGTGCATGTTGTTTTGCGCCCAATATTTGCATCATCATAATATTATGTTTTAGCCTAGTACTCTTTTATACAATATTCTTTTAAAGTTTCAGTCTTCATTATTGTTGTAGTTATGCCTCTTAGTGTTCGGAAGGGTAAAGTTTCAGCACTATGCATGTTTTATATTACAAGATATGCTCCAATTTTGAATGTCGCGCGAGCTTAAGTGTTAGCTTGCGCCAAGCTTTATGTATTTTGAAGTTGAGCCCTAGCCAAGCTAGTTTTCAGCTCTGACAACCTTTTTCCGAATTTCATTTTACCATTAGCCGAGAGTTCCAAAATTAAGAGAATTTTCACTAAGTCAAAAACCTTAAGCTAAGAAAATTCTTTAAGTTAGTATTTATTTTACCAAGAAAAAGATATGTTATTTATAAAAGTTATGTTCTCAAAATGTAGATTTTGAGAAGTCTAGCCCTTGAGTTTTCTACATCTGCATTTTCATCACTGTCTCTGGTTACCAGGTGGGGATTCTATATTTTTGTATAAATATGTGGTAGTATAGTTTTGGTATGAGTGTTAATGTGGGTCACTGGGCCGAATATGATAGTTGTGTGCAAATTTCCTACTAGCGGTGCCAATTGATGCGGACGGCACTAGTAGAAGCGGTTGATGTCGGGTTTAGCAGGACCGGTTGATGCCGATGGCACTACTAGTAACCAGTTAATAGACCAATAGTTCATGAATTTAGGTTAACGATGTATAATAGTCAATAGTCGGGTAGATTATAGAGGCTTGACATAAGTGTCACTAATCCGAATTTACCTGGAGGCTTGAAGCCGGTGATAGTCTGTGTGGCAATGTTAGCCTGTGTGGCAATGATAGCCTGTGTGCCATTGATGTTCATGTTCATATGATTATTATGCCATTTGTGCTTATACTAAATCAGTGCATAGTATGTTTTTACCACTGAGCATAAAGGATTTGCTTACCCCATTGTTTTTCATGTTAGCAGTTGGCGGTGGACACGAGAGGACGGGCGTGGTCATTGTTTAATCATGTTTTCATTTCCGCAAACTTGTTTTGAAACTCATTGTTGGTTTTGAGTATTACCTGTTTTGAAACTATGTTTTTTATGAATGAGACTTTGGATGTTTTCATTATGTCGCGAATGTTTGAAAGAAAAAAAGATTTTCTTAGTAATGCCCGAGGAAAATATTTTTGGAAAATGTTTTTAAGGCTTCAAATTTGTGTTATTAATATTAAAAATTAGATTATTTATTATAATTTTGGTTCATGGTTATATTAGCTAGACTATAAAAGATAACTAATTATATCTCATTATTTAATCAAAAAATAATATATTTTTTTATAGATTTTTATTGTCAAACTTAGTTAATAAATTATTTGTTACATTATAATTAATTGTGAAATTATTTTATTTTATTTTTTCACAGAAGCAAGTTGGGTCAGGTTGGGACCGTGCAAAACCCAAATTTAAGAACTCGGGGTACCCGTATACCCGACAAAAACTCCCTAACCCACCGGGTAAAAACTCAACCCGTATTCAAAGATCACTAGTTAGGTAACGGGTCGAGTTTGGGTACGGCAAATTATATGCTGGTCGGGTTAAGGTTTGCCAAAATCCACCCTCGACCCGACCAATTTACATCCCTAGATATCCTTTTTGTCTTCGTAAGATTGAGTTAATGATTTAATTGGGATTTCAAATGTAATGCCAAAATTCTCATTATAGCGACGAAAGGTAGCCTATTTGCTCAGAATCAGCATGCACTTTGGAGGGACTGAAGCGAAATTAATATGTTGGAGGCTCCATTATTATGTTTTTATGTAGTAATTGGAGGTTGATATTATGTGGCAAATTAGAAGGATAAATTTATACTGTGTAGAGAGAGAGAGAGAGAGAATTGTCCAACATAACAGACTGTGTTTGGAAATGGTTACTTATTAGTGTACCAAAATATGAAGATGACCGAAAGACGACAGTACTAAAGCGATCAAACAAAAACCCCCAGAAAAATGAAGTAATAATGAAGATTGCAAGACAAAAAGTAAGGGAGAAATAATGAAGATGATGATGATGAATCAGTTGTTGGCCGGTTCCCAGCAGGAGATGGCATGAGTAACGCGTCCTTTCCATCCCTGCAGCATCCAATTCCCGTCTTCTTCCACCGAGAACTCCTCATGATAATCCCTCCGCACCTTATCCCTCACATACTTCACAATCTCTTTATCCAATCCCATTTGCCTGAATCCAGCCCTCGCTGTCCTCCACTGCCACTGCCTGTACCCCTCCGGCCTCTCTATCCTCTCTGCATCCTCACATGCTATCACGTTCATCACCTCCTTTCCGTACACCAACTCCTCGAACAGCACTCTGTTCTCGTCCTCCCGCGCCACCGTCGCCTCAAACATATCAAACATGGCCGAGAAGTGGTACAACGTCTCCTTAAACCTCGAAACAAAGAATGGCGTGTTGTACGTTCCGCATACAACTCCGTGTACAAAAATTGCTGGCTTCATCTTCCTCATCAGCTCCAACACCGCATCTCTCCCCACGCCCACCGTCTCGTCCCCCACATTGTGAAGCCGGTAAAGGCAATTAACCACCACCAAATCTTCCTCCCCAATCTCCAAATCCTCCACGTGCACGCTCTCCCATTTCCCCGCGATCGCCTTGTACTCGAACGGGACTCCGAACCTCCTGCAGTAGCTGGCGAGGCGGAAGCCCGTGCACTCGAGGCGCTCGGCCGGGCGGAGCCCCGGCTGCGGGAAATCGATGCCCGTGATGCGGAGCATCGGTGGCCCGGTGGGCCGTTCGGAGAGGGCCTTGATGAGGGAGGGCCACTGAAGCCCGTAGAGAATGCCGAAATCGACGAGGTGGAGCCTCGCGGCACCGGCGGACAGTTTCCGGATCGCCATGCTGGCGAAGAGGTTGGACATCTTCTCGAAAGGGCAGGCCGTGATGAACATCTCGTAGGCTCTCAAGGCCTCCGCGGCCGAGAGCCTCCGGGAGTCGATTGCGGAGTAGAGCTCTGTTCCGGTGCCGGCGAGACGGGCGTCGATGGCGTTTGCTAGGTAATGTGCGAGCCTCTGGGAACCGTCTCCTTGAGGGGACGAGTGCTCCCTTATGCGGAGGAGAAGCTCGTTCGCGGTACGGATGTCGAAGGCCGACACGCACTGTGCGCACTGGAGTAAGAGGGACCGGAGGTCGACGCCGGATTCAATAATGTTTGTTGTGGTTTTCTTGCGGCCGCCTCTTATGGGTATTGGATTCGGTGGGGATTTCTTCTTTGTTCGTTGGAACTTGTTGTCCGAGATGGAGCAAAGCAGAACGCTGTCGAACATCTCGAGAGGCTCGTCTTCTTCGATGTTGCCCGCCATTTGTTTGTTGCTCCTTACAAGGTTGTGGCCTTCATCGATGGGCTCCCTGACACGGTTTTTCTTCTTTTCGTTAAGGCTCCGATCATTTGGGGTGCTATAGTTTCTCGTGAAATGGTCGGAATTATTATGGTTGTTGTTGAGGACGTCGTAAAAGGATTTCTCAGTGGCCTGGAGAGCGAGGCATTCGTGGAGCATGGACGCGCGATTCTGCAACTCGTCCTCTTCCTCCATAAGCATATCCCTTATGAACTTGAATACTGCATCAGAATGATCATCTTCTTTCAAACTCTCCCCCTCAGTCTCACACAACAACAACAATGGTTGTGCTTCCTTCATCTGCGGATGTGAGGTGGAACCATTTGTTTTCGAATTTTCAACCCAGCTGTAGTAATCATTTGTCACCGCACAAAATTCCTTGTGACCAGCTTTTTTTTGGCATCCAACAACATGATTTTCGTCGGGGGATACTGATTTTGAACAAATATCATATGCTTCTTGTACTAAAGTATCCATGAGGACCCAGTATCTATCTACCAGAAAAAGAAAAAGGAGTTCAATTTTAGATTTCTTTTATGTGTATATATATATATATATATCTGGCTAATAATTGTAGAGTAACTAAAATGTGAAGAGCAAGCGTCTCTTAAATGCTTAATCTTGTGGACCGCCCAAGTATAATCATTTCAATATAAGATAGACCACAAGCAGTTTCCTGTAAGAAATGAAGACAAAAATCAATGTTCACATGTGTCATTTAATGTGCTGCTAATTATTATCCTAAACCTAACAAGGTGGATTACTGCATTTTCGACAAACTTAGATTAACAAACGGAAGAAGCATGGCCATGGAAGCAAATCCTATATAGTAAAAAACCTAATAAAAAAAAAAAAAAACACACACACACACACACATACATAGCGTCTCTGAAACGAAATAAGAAGGAAAAGGGACTTTGAAGAGTACCGCAGAGAAACAGATACCCCAGCAATAGAGCAGAAGATATATTCTTAATCAATTGTTCCACAACTTCATTACCATATTGTTACAAACTTACAATAACATTTGGTACAGCCATTTAACATCAAAAAGATGCCAAGGAGGAAGGTGCGATGCGGATCTCATTTCGTTGAATTTTTTTATTCTCCCTAGAAAAAAAGTTTGAAAAAGAAAATCTTTATGATATGATCATTAGAAGAATAATGTTACATATCTAAAGTCTATATTCAAGAAGAAGCAGTGCAAACACGTTCATTTCTGTAATTTTTTATTGAGCTTCATTCTACTCATGCTGACCGTATGTAGTTATGTAGTAAAATGCTCATTTTGTCCTTGATTTTTTAACTTTTTTATTCCTTTTTGTTGGGCGAACTAGAATGCCCCTTCTTTTTGGTGTTGAGGATACTATTTTGTTGGTTTTTTGGGAACTCTACCTTTGTTTATTATCATCAGACTAAAATGCCCTTTTTCCTTATTGAACTGCTGATTGGTACACTATTGGTGTTTTGGTAATTACATTTCATCATTCATCTCCCTATGTAATTTGTTCTTGTTAGATTTCTTTGAGTGGAGTAATTTTCTCGATTTTTTTTGGGTAGTATTATTTACCGCTTCCTTTTACTAGTCACTGCCCCCTTGGACGACTTTGTCATTTTCATTTTTTCCAAACATCTCAGAGCAAAGTGTACGGTAAAATGTTTTCAAATTCCGAGATACGAAAAATTTCTTGTCCGGCCGGCGAAACCGGATGGCTTTTAGCCCGTCCGACCACCGGAACCAGACGGTTCAAAAGGCGTCCGGCCGGTCGGTTCGGACGGCATAAAAGCCGTCCGAAAATTTCGTTCGGTCGGATGGACTATGTCCGAACCGGCCGACCAGACGCTTTAAAAGACGTCCGGCGGCGACGGCCGGTCGAGACCGGTCCGTCCGGTTCGACCGGCCGGACGATTTTTTTTTTTTTTAATTATTATATTTTATATTCGAAATAATTATGTTATAAATTGGACGTTAGATATTATCGTGTTAGGAGTTAGAAATGATTATGTTACATGTTAGACTTGATTATGCTATTAATTGGACGTTAGATATTATCGTGTTATGAGTTAGAAATTATTATGTTACATTTTAGACTTGATTATGCTTAAATTGGACGTCAGATATTATCGTGTTAGGAGTTAGAAATGATTATGTTACATGTTAGACTTGGTTATGCTATAAATTGGACGTTAGATATTATCGTGTTACGAGTTACAAATTATTATATTACATGTTAGTCTTGGTTATGTTATAAATTGGACGTTAGATACTATCGTTTTAGGAGTTACAAATTATTATGTTACATGTTATATGTAATATCCCATTCAGTAATTAATTAAAGTAATTATTCTAAGTATGAACTAATTACTTTTATTAATAATGCTCGTTCCTAGTTCCGAGCCAGTTATTAAGTTATTCAGTTAAAAATTTGACTTTAAGTCGAAAGTATTCTCGGTTCAATATTATTCAGTAATCGAGCCAGTTCAGTAATTAATTCCCGTCTGTTTATTTTTATAAATGGATTTATAAGACGGGATTAATTAATATAAGATGACGAATAATCGAAATTGAGTATATTTTGATTAATCGTTTAAGATAAGTAGTGAACTGAACCCAATGTTCGGTCATGAGTTGAACTTAATTAAGAAATAGCTGAGCCTTAGTACTAAATACTTAGAATTTTTCTAAGTGTTTAAGTCATCAAGATAAGATCATAATATTGAGTTTTAGCATAAGTTGATACAAGTTAAGTCTCGAAGTGCGGTTAAGTATCCATGAACATTTAAGTGATAAATGTTCAAAGAAGTGAGAAAATTTATTTAGACATTATAGTCTATTTAAATTATTTTAAGAGAAACTGAAATTTTTAGAATTTTCGGTTTTACGGTAATCGTTTAGTTTAAGTCCGAATGTGGTTCCGTAAATGTAGAATATTTCAAGATAATTATATTAGATCCTAAGAAGCAATATGTTCATTAAATTGAAGAAAAACTGTGAGTAAGGAATTTAAATTCATGATATGATCAAGTTATTAAATCCTAAGAAGCAATATGTTCAATATATGTAAAGATGAGTATATATGCAAGAATATTCATGATATGATCAAGTTATTAAAGTGAGATTATTATGATCAATTCTCATATAAGTGATGAGCAATTTAACAAAGTTTTAGTTTAATATGTTGAGTATATAATCTTATAAAGATTGTATTAATATCATGATTAAGTGTTATGATTAAAAGTTGAAGTAGGACTTGAGTTTATTTTCACTTTCAAGTTAATTAAGTGAAAATTTAATATAATCTAATATTTAAAATTTGGGAGATATGATGTATGATGAATTAAGTAATTGATTGAGTAAAAGATCAAGATGAGTTTATAAATCATGTTGATGATGTTGGAAAAAGTTAAGCATGTTTTGAGTTCATGTATTCAATCAAGTTTAATGTGCAATTTAGTTATTTTCACATTCGAGTTATTTAAGTGACATGCGAGTATAAACCAATATCTATGATTTTGAAGATATGATTTATATAAGGTTAAGTAATTAACCTTGAGTAAAAGTTTAAGAAAAAGTTAAGATGTTTGATGACTTAATATTTATTTGAGACATATTAAGCTTATTGAATATCTTTAAGATTGGGATAAATAAGAGTTAAATCTTATTGAGTATACGAGCATAGTACTTAGTATATTTGTTTATATTTTTATGTAGCTTGCAGATATAGTTACCCAAGAGCAACACTTACATTTTTCAAAAGTTTTCAAAAGAAGAAAGGTGGGGACCCAGACTGGGTATTACATTGAGTATAATATTGATATCATGTCCGAGGTATGTATACAATTTAAGTTTATACGCTTGGGATGAGAAGTCATTCAGTTGTCTCAGAGTATATCCTAAGTTCTGATGGGGGCCGTTTGAGTTGCCTTGAGAAATATCCATCAGATTGTGCACAAGTATCCGATCAGATATCGGCCAGATTTAGTTTAAGTTACTGGAACAGATTTCCAGTCCAGATTTATACCAAAGATCATGATATTGTATTATTATTGCTGTTTACTTTAGTATGGGTGATTTCGGGGTACAAGAGGATCAGTACTCACCCCCATTGTGTTTTTCAGGTATCAGGGTCGGGTCGGAGGTGTGAGCTCGAGATGTGGTGGTGGTGGTCGTGCACTTATTTCAAGTGAACATTTATTAAGTATTTGATATGTCTGTATAATAAACCACGTTTTCAAGTATTTCCGCTATGCACATTAAGTATTGAACTTGCATTTCAAATTTCAAGTTTTTACCATTTCGAGAAGTATGAATATGGTACAGTTAAATGCAAGTTTAAAGGAAATCTGTTTTCTTTATGTCTAAAGAAGTATTAGACAAAAGTTTAAAGATAAATAGATTTTCAAGAAGATGAGTTTGAGTAGCATCTCGAGTTAGTCGCAAAATATTTCGAAAGAGTTATAAGTACTTTCGAAGTAAAAGTTGCGAAAAATTTACTCTGATGACCGGGGTGTTACACCAGCAATATCTAATTTTTCAATCTCTGATCATGGGCAAAATATATAACCACAATAAAACAAATATTTTTAATATTTGACAAATGTTTCGCACAAAAAAAAATAAATAAATAAAAAAAATAACTTTCTACCTCGACAGATTGTGTAATAACACAAATATTTTGAAAAATTGTAGATGAAATGTCTGTCCCAACTTTTTCCAAATCGTGAAAGATATTTAAATTTCAGACAGATCGTGGCTTGTTTTGAGCTAAATATGATGAATCTTTTAGAAGGTAAGAAATATGTAGATTGATACTTAGAAATACGAAGTCGTATGTATGTGATTTGCAAACGATATATTTGGCATGAAATTCATAATCTTCCCAAGTCCAAATTACATAATTTCATTTTTAAACCGAGCAACTCATAAATTGGGACAAATTACAAAATTTCATTTTAAACCAATGTATGGCAGATTATATATTACATTAATTACGAACAATTTATAAATTTAACAATAAGAATGCTTCCTCGAGCATTAGCGTAGTTTGTTGGCTAACCATACTCTTGCTATGGTCCACTTGAATATTATTTTCCCTTTACTAGGCAAGCACGAGCCAGAGATGATATTTAAAGCATTTACGGTGAAGTGCAATGAGAAAAGATGACGCATTCACTGTTTACAAGATCACATAAGAATAATACATCTATCCATTAAACTAGAAGATAAAATTTGGATCTCAATGCAAATAGAACATCTTTACATTAACCATACAGAGACCTCCATGGCTTCATCAAAGAGCCGATGCAGATTTCTTCTCAGCCTAGTAGCAGTGTAGGCCTATGGTTGTTGACTTGATATGCACACATAATAATTCCATACAAATTCTAACAGACAAATGAACTTCACAACATCTTGTGTAAGAGTGCATCTTCATATCATCCCACGGTGGTGTTGACATTGAAAGGAGCAGATGGTATCTGAAGAGAGAGAGAGAGATACAGTTACATTGTTACTGGAAGTGGTATTTACATCACAGATGACAAAAGAGGCCAAAATCTTGCGACCTCTACAGAACATAGTGAAACATTTACATNTAAACGTCTTACGGATGAGAAATTTCTACAGTAGTCAAATCTCAAGATTCAAGGGGTATCAGTAATATGGTGAAAGAACAGTTTTGATACGTACACAAACAAAGACTTGTGAAACGCAGACATCTCCTCGCTGCAGTCTCATTATGGTGTGCGAGTAACAACATGCTTAAATTTGGTGCTTATCTTTCGCCCAAAAGTGTAACATCACTAGTAGTTTGTATGAAGGTGAAACCGGTACTAGGAAAATAAAACAAAACAAAGTCATGTCAATAACTACAAATGCTTTTCCTTATACCTCTTCAAGAGCCAAGAAGCACAAGGCAGGTGAGACTCCCCTACGAAGGGACCCAACAAGAGCTAGCATACAAAATCCGGCCTTTCCATCCCTGTATCATCCAGTGGCCATCTTCACCAAACAGAAAATCTTTGTGGTATTTAGCCATGGCCTTCTTATGCTTTAGCTTCTCCATAATCTCTGGATTCAAGGAAAACGGTTTGAACCCAGCCCTCATTAGACGAAATTGCCACTGTTTATAAGTCTCCGGTCTTTCTATCCTCTCCATTCCTTCGCAAGCAACAACGTTAATTACCTCCGGCCCATAAAACCCCTGCTCAAACACCATTCTCTGCGGATAATCACGAGGCAGAGAGGCATCAAACATATCAAACAGCGCCGAATAGTGGAAAAGAGCCTCCCGAAAACGAGTCACGAAAAACGGCGCACTATACGAACCACTGGTGACCGCATTCACAAATATAGCCGGCTTCATTTTTCTCACCAATCTCAGAACCTCATCACGCGGGCTGTCGGCCACAACAGTTTCATCAAGCAACCGACCAAATCGAAACAAACAGTTCACAGCCAGCATCTCCCCACTCACTATCTTCAAATCCTCAATCCTAATAGTCTCCCAGTTTTTAGACGCGACTGCTTGGTACTCAAACGGCACACCAAAACGTTGGCAGGACCTTGCCAGCCGGACTCCGGTCTCTTCCACTCTCTCAGCTGGCCGGAAACCGGGCTGTGGAATCTCAATCCCAGTGATGCGCAGCTTCGGGGGCCCGCCGGGCCTTTCAGAGAGCTGCTGGATGAGAGCAGGCCACTGGAAACCGTAAAGAATGCCGAAATCTATTATGTGCAGCGTAGTTTCCTTTTCTGATAAAGCGGCAATCATCTTGTTAGCGAAGAAAATCGACATCTTCATGAAGGGGCAGATAGAGAGATAAAGCTGGTAGGCCTCCAGCTTCTGGGCAGCCGTAATGTTCCTTCGAGTGAGAGATGTATAGAGCTCTGCCCCAGTGCCAGCTAAGCGTGCCTGAAGACCAGTGGCAAACACGTAAGCCAATCTCTGGTATCCATCACCTGTGGGGGAAGAATGTTTCCCGATTTGCCTTAATTGTTCATACGCAGTTGCACGATCATCGCTAGCGACAGATTGGGCACAGCTGATTAATAGGGTTCGGAGGTCAACAGAATCATCATTGGTCGAGTTTTTCACTGTTTGGGCACTGCCGCCACTGGACACATCACCACTGTGATGTTCGTCTGGATCGGTGCATAAGAGAACACGATCGAACATTTCAGACAGCTCGATTTCGTCGACGTAAGTCACGGATTGTTTACTGCTTCTTTCCAAGCCCTCTGAATCGCCGTCTTCTGGATAGTGATGTTTCCTTCCCTTTGAGCCCTTGTTATTTTTAGAAGAGTCTTCAGCATCTTCTTCTTTTTCTGACTTGGTTGCCGCAGGAGGAGGAGGAGGAGTTATGTTTTCCGATTTCTGAGGTAACTCGTATTTGTCCAAATCTATGAACAGTGGGTTCCTTGTGGGCAGAAACTTACTGGCTTCTTCCATCCCTCTCTTGAACTGCAAAATTGACTCACTATCCGTGAAAAAGTTTTGCAGCAGCGACTGAGTATCAATTATGTCTTTGGAGCTGTTGACAGTACCCAACAACGATTGTGAACTATTATGTTCGCCTGGATCGAGAAGCCGTTGAGCATCAACTGAACTACTGCCTGCATTACTGCTGTCAGAGTTACCCAAAGGTTGGTCGCCATAATTTAAGTTATGATAAGGTGAAGATGGGTATTTCTCACCGATAACTTCATACAAAGATTTCTCAGCAGCCTGTAGGGCAAGCGGATCGTGGAACATGCTAGGCTGCTCATCCATATTCTCTTCAAGCAGAATTTGGTTAAGGAACTTAAGCACTGGATCAGAGTCTTGATCATCTGGAGACACAGTTTCATAGCTCAAGGTTGAAGATGGAGCAAAACTATCAGGGCTTGGGCTTAACGGCAAGAAAGACATGTCAAGGACATCGAGCTCCAAGAGATCGCGTTCATATCCATTGGCACTGTTTTGGGATTGCTCATAGGTTGGAAGTGACTTCTCGCTATCAAACTCAAATCCATTAATTGGATGGGGAATTTCACTACATCTGGGATCCATGATAATTGATGTCTTCAAAATTCCTACTCAAATAAAAGGTCAGCATTGATGAGTCGGAAATCCCGAAAATCCATTACACTGGAAAGTTAAAGCCTTGAAAATTATGGACAAAAACATCTGGAGTCAGCAGAAGACATCATAACCTATCACATATATGAATAAATAAAGGATAAAGCCATTAAGAAATCTAAGAATGAAAATATGAATATGAATGAACCATGGTTTACCCCTCCACCAAAACCACAAAATAAGGCTAAAAAAAGTCCATGAAACATATAAATATAACACAAGAACATAAGATCCTAACATAACCTCCTTCATTGCAAGGATAGATACATGAGATAAAATTATTTCACCATACAACTCCTGGTTGTGTCACAGACCATACCAACTGAGCTTGAAGCTTCTCCTGCTACACTAGAACCATTATGTACTTTTGCCTTGTATAATTTTTGACAGCTAAAACGCAAGAACAGGCCCACTATCCAGAAATCCAGAAGATATAAATAAGAAGTTTTTTAAGAAAATAAAGATTTCACTCTACATTGACCTTGACCTCGGGAATTCAGATTCACTCTGAAAACCACAAAGGGAGAAGAGAGAGAGATAGAGACCTTATAGAAAACATGCAATTAGGTTAACGAGTAATAATAGATAAACATCAATACAAGCATGCCCGCCCTAGTCAAACATCAATACAAACTAATAATAAAAATCAGAGACGAGAAGGTTAAAAAGGAAAACGAGGAGGAACATATAAGAATAATCTCTAAGCACGGAAATACTTCAGATTCAAGGGTCAGATATAGAACACAACAAAAGGAAAACGAGGAGGAACATATAAGAATAATCTCTAAGCACGGAAATACTTCAGATTCAAGGGTCAGATATAGAACACAACAAAATAAGGAAATCAAATTATTTGTAAAAACAAAGGAAAGTGAAAGAAGAACAAGAAGAATATATACCCCAAAAATAAAATCGAAGGGCATACCTTAGATTGTTCGCAATTAAACGGAGACAATCACAAAAAAAATGGGGTGGCTAGTGAAAGAGTACTCTCAAAATGAAGATGACTATGCGGAGCTCCTAGATAGTACATTAATTTACATTAATTTAAAGAGCACGAAAATGTCCCTTTCAACTTTTGCATAATTGCACCCAACCCCTTCCTCCACTATTACAAACATCTGCTGAATCAAGCATCCAATCGGGACTGAGCACGGACATTGGAGAATACAGAATGGTTTCGAAAGTCAAACTGAATTCACTCTAAATCAAAAAAATATCTGTGATCCTTTCACTATTTTCGAACTCAATCGTATCAGTTTTTTTATTTGGTATGACTCTAGAGATTCATATATCTGTACCGAAAATTATATTAAATAGTTTTACCGAACCCAAGAGTCGAAACAAAGAATAAATTTCAGTCAAGTCATGATTTTATATGTGTATAACATTCTACTAGTGCAATACCCGTGTATTACACGGGTGTTGAATTAAAATATTTTTGTAAAAAATATTAATTTTTTTATTTCTTTAAAAATTAAAATAATTTAATTTTATATAAAACACTACTTGGATTTTGATTAAATTGTCAAATTATATTTTTTTAATCATAATAAGTAAACACCTGTACATTAAATAAAAATGTCAACCCGTGTTGAATTTGTTTACTTATATCATATAATAATATCGATATTATTTACTATTACATAAGCAAAAAAATATATATCTTAAGTAAATAGAAATATTATGGTGATATGTATATGCATAAGTGTAGAATATGTTTATTTAATATTATGAAAAATATTAATTGATAAATAATTTTATTTTCTAATTAATTGTAATAGATAATTTTATTATTATTATAAAGATGAATATAATTTATCTATTTTATATATACAATATGGATGTCAAATCGAAGCTCATCAAAAGATAATTAATTTGATATATTATATATGTAAACCCGATAAGAAATACATTTTTTTACTTATATCATAATAATATCGATATTATCTACTATTACATAAGTACAAAAATATATATCTTAAGTAAATAGAAATATTATGATGATATGTATATGCATAGAATATGTTTATTTAATATTAAGCAAAATATTAATTGATAAATAATTTTATTTTCTAATTAATTTTAATAGATAATTTTATTATTATTATAAAGATAAATATAATTTATCTATTTTATATATACAATAT